ACTGCAACTAAAGCATCGTACCGTGTGTCCCAGATAATTGCACAAAAAAAGAAACCTTATGAAGACGTCGTTTGTACGTGCATTCTGTTGTGTCCAGTCCTGTGGAGTTCTAATTTGGCGTCTAGAGGGCCTTGACCAACCGCGGGGTTGTCGTCTGTCTACAGTTCTTGTCAGTATAAAAGAGAATGCTGAAAAAAATCTGAAAAATAACGACAAGTACCAGTTTTGTACCTACAACTTTTAAATCGCCCTCCACTAGAGTTCAACAGTTTACATGGTATAGCGAGTCTTCTATAATCATCTGTTGTATTAGAATAAAGTCTTAGACTCTCAAACGTGACTGCAGCTTAATCCAATATGGCTGACTATCAGATTAAAGTAAATAACCAGGGAAATAATAAGGGATGGAGATGAAATCACATACCACTGTCGCCATATTGGTATGAAATTTTGACACTTTTATATGTAGGTGACATTAAAATGTGTTTTTGATTATAGCATAGTAATTTTATTTTATAATTAAAATATTGGTGCGTTATGGTGCATTATTTAGTTGTTCTAATATATTTGGTGTAGATAAGAAATCTTCAGGAACAACATATAACCGGTAAGGGTGTACAAAAACATCCCCGATAAATAAATATGTCAAATTTAATTTTAATTTCTTAGATTTTTTGGAAAATCATATGATGTTAAACCTGTATAACATCCATCCCTTTTAACTTGTAAAAAATTGAAAATAAAACACAAAAATTATATTCAATAATTCTTTATGAAATCACAAAGTCAACATACAACTCTAACAAATTCACACAAACCTCAACCTAATTAAAGGGATGATCAGTGACGTAACAACTGTAAAATTTATAATGGTGTGAACACAAACTAAGAAAAATACATTAAAATATATTGCAACATTATTATTAAAATTATTTAAAACTTCAACAATATCATCTACTATATATTATGTATACCTTTTAGTAGTCTAAAAACTACGTATTTTAATGAGAATGTTGATAAATATTTTTTTCTCTCGATATTATGAAATTAATGAGTTTGAAATAAATAGCTATGTGAAAAGATCATGTTTCCAGAAAAGAAAACAAAAAAGTACAATGCTCATTCAGGTGTCAAAACCGTAACGCAAAATAAGAAGACCGTTTTATTTTTTTGGGGGAAATATATTTAACTCAACAGAAATGGTTAAAAATTATATGGGTGACTAGTAGGGCTCTCCAATGTTGTAACACAATAAACTCTCGAGGACTGCAGTGCTACCACACTTGAACCCGGAGAATTCTAGAGATGGGTCAAGATAGAAACCTTAAAAAAAAATTGAAATTTTACCACCCCAACACAATGTTTCCAGAACATTTAGTTTACTCAGTTACTTAAAGAAATAAGTATATAAACCATAATAAATGAATTTACTTTCGGCATAATCTAAGAATAAATATATTTTACATTACCATTAACATAGAAAAATATTTAAAATTGAGATCGCTTGTATAAAAATTTAATGATAATTGAAATTGTTGGTGTTTGCCAGTACAATGAACTTTTGAAAATAAAACTAGAAAAAATTGGATTGATATTTACTAATTTATTATCATCGATAGCTAGTGGATGAAGTAAATCATCAACTGTAACAAAATGAGAAATTACATCATCAACCTTAGCAAAATGATGAAGTATAGCATTAATACATCAAGAAATCAGTTAACTAACTGTAGAAAAATGATAAACTACCAACTGTAAGACAAGAATGAATCAACTGTATCCAAAGGATGAAATAAATGATCAACTACAGCAAAATTATGAAGTCAGTCATTAATTGTAACAAAATGATTGAGACAGTACATCGTCAATTTTAGAAATGGATGAAGTATGGTATCAATGCAGCAAAGAATGAAGTAAACCATCAATTGTAGCATAAGGATGAAATATGAAATAATGTAGGAAATGGATGAATTAAATCAACTGCAGCTAAAGTATGAATTAAACACTCAACTGTAGTAAAATTATGAGGTAAATCATCAACTGTAACAAAAGGGTGCATTTAGAATTTCCTAAATCGAAACAGGTATTATATGTCGTTTGTATGGTATCAACACGACAAGTAAACTACCAACTGTAGCAAAAGAATGAATTACTGTTTTAAAAGGTTGAAGTAACTACAGCAAAATTACGAGGACAGTCAACTGTAACAAATGAGACTAAGAAATTGAGATAGTACATCATCAACGTCAGAAAAGGATAAAGTATGGTATAAATGCAGCAACGAATGAAGTAATCCATCAATTGTAGCAAAAGGATTAATTACTGTAGCAAATGGATGAAATAAATCAACTGCAGTTAAAGGATGAAGTAAATAATTAACTGTAGCAAAATTATGAGGTAAATCATCAATTGTAACAAAATGATACTAACAAACTGAGACAGTACATCATCAATTTAAGAAAAAGATGAAGTAAACCATCAACTGTACCAAAATGAGACTAGGAAATTGAGATAGAACATCATCAACGTCAGAAAAGGATGAAGTATGGTATCAATACAGCAAAGAATTAAATAAACCATCAATTGTAGCAAAAAGAATAATTACTATAGCAAATGAATGAAATAAATCAACTGCAGTTAAAGGATGAAGTAAATAATCAACTGTAACAAAAGGGTACAGTTAGAATTCCTTAAATAAAAATAGTTATATTATTTAATATCGGTATCAACACGGCAAGTAAACTACGAAGTGTAGCAAAAGAATGAATTATTATTTCGAAAGGTTGAATTAAATGATCAACTACAGCAAAATTATGAAGTCAATCAACTCTAACAAATTGAGGCAGTACATCATCAACCTCAGAAAAAGATGAAGTATGATATAAATGCAGCAAAGAATGAAGTAAACCATCAACTGTAGCAAAAGGATGAATAACTGTAGCAAACGGATGAATTAAATCAACTGCATCTAAAGAATTAAGTAAATAATCAACTGTAACAAAATTATGATGCGAATCATCAACTATAACAAAATGAAAATAAGAAAGTAATACAGTACTTTATCGACCTCAGAAAAGAATGAAGTATGGTATCAATGCAGCAGAGAATGAAGTAAATCATCAACTGTAGCAAAAAGATGATTTAATGAAAATGGATTAATTAAATCAACTGCAGCTAAAGTATGAAATTGAGATAGTACATCAATGTCAGAAAAGGATGAAGTATGGTATCAATGAAGCAGAGAATGAAGTAAATCAACAACTGTAGCAAAAGTATGATTTACTGTAAATGGATGAATTAAATCAACTGCAGCTAAAGTATGAAATTGAAATAGTACATCATCAACGTCAGGAAAGGATGAAGTATAGTATCAATTCAGCAAAGAATGACGCAAACCATCAATTGTAGCAAAATGATTAATTACTGTAGCAAATGGATGAATTAAATCAATTGCAGTTATAGGAGGATGAAGTAAATAATCAAATGTAGCAAAATTATAAGGTGAATCATCAACTGTAACAAAGGGTGCATTTAGAATTTCTCAAATCAAAATAGTTATATTATTCAATGTCGTTTTTTATGGTATCAACACAACAAGTGAACTACCAACTGTAGCAAAATAATGAATTACTGTTTCCAAAGGTTGACGTAAATGATCAACTACAGCGAAATTACGAGGTCAATCATCAACTGAAACAAAATAATACTAACAAACTGAGACAGTACTTCATCAATTTAAAAAAAGAATGAATTAAAAAACCATCAACTGTAGGAAAATAAATGAACTGCATCTAAAAGAGAAAGTAAATAATCAATTGTAACAAAATTATGAGAAATCGAAATAGTTATATTATTCAATGTCGTTTGTTGGTATCAACACGGCAAGTAAACTACCAATTGTAGCAAAAGAATGAATTACTGTTTCCAGAGGTTGAAGTAAATGATCACATAAATGACGGCAAAAATATGAGGTCAATCATCAACTGAAACAAAATGAGACAGTACATCATCAATCTCAGAAAAGGATGAACTAATGTAGCAGATGGATGAATTAAATTAACTGCAGCTGAAGGATGGAGTAAATAATCAACTGTAGCAAAATTATTAGGTGAATCATCAACTGTAAAAAATATGTATTTAGTATTCCTTAAATCGAAATAGTTATATTATACAATGTGGTTTCTTTTGCTTATTAATAAGATTTTTCAACTAGGCTGGCAAATAAAATTCAGGTCGAAACTTATCTATACATTATGAATGTATAACCTGTAAAAAATTATTATAGTAATGAATTACTTACTATATTAGGTGAAGGTATACCATTAAATAAACAAAATGTATGTAATTTATTGTCATGGATGGAGGTGGGTGGCTGAGTGATTGGGAACTAGAAATCGTATAAATTGTTCTAAAGTCCATAAAGAACAAGGCAAACGGTCATAGTAGTCGGTGGCGTTGACACCGAAATAAAAAATCATTTAGTCAAATAACTAAATGTAATTTTCTGGAAACAATCATCTATTAATCAATAAATACTAAAAAACACTAAATAAATATAAATACAATAAGTTATAAAAGCAAAAAAAAAACAAATATACAAGATTTTTCAAAAAAATAAAAATCACTGACTAGTTTACACGAAAAAAAAAGGGGGGGGAGAAATAAAATAAAAATTGTATAGTCGCTTATTTTTTCAAAAAATCTTCAATTTTTCATCGAGTTATTAATATTATTATTGCATTTTAAGTATTCGAATTATATTCAAAAATTCTTTTCAAGAATATCCACGTATGTCAAAACTTAAAATTAAAAAAAGAGAGCAAAAAGCTTAAAGAAAAACCTCAATTTAACATATCGAACCTTAAAAAGAACAGTTCTCAATATACAAATTTCAATAAATTATTTTTCAGTGGAGTATACTATGAAACAAGTAATAACATATAGACTAAATGTAGGAATTTCGAGAAATAACATTTTTTTAAAAGCAAAATTAAGTAAAACTAATTAGTTTCAGAAGGATTTGGCGATATCATAGAGGAAGACGGATGACCAAGATAATATTCGTTAGCTGGAGAGACAGATCTTCGACTTAATCTGGATGGTGGCGTAGATAAACTGTAACTAAAAAAATAATAATAGACATTTATACGAAAAAAATTCAATTTACAATATCTAAATGTATTTGTAAATTATAAATTAGTAAACCATAATGAAAGTCTAATAGAGTTGGGCGATATTTCACAAACTGTTATTTAATTACTCATATTTAAAAAATTTGTAATGTTTTTCAATGAAAAATCAGTTTTTAAGTTCAAAATACTATATTTGGTTAATAATAATAAATTATTTTAAATTCTATGTTTCATCCAAAAATGTCAAAAAATAATCGTATGTAAAGAGAAGAAAATAATATCAAACTTACTGTCTAGGTTTAGCAGCTGGCATTAAATCATCTATGTTGTCTTCACAGTCGGAATATAAGGAGGAAACGGGCCTAGCGATTCTTGAACTATATGTCTGATAGCGATTAGGTACGTTGACATATTCGTTAAGTAAGGAAGAGCTTCTGGAGTACGGCCTGTAGGCTTTAGGGGGTTCTTGAGCAGATGCTATATAACTAGGCCTGAAATAAAATTTTATTTATTTTAATAAACTAATTTTCAATTTATTTCAAAATGGTTTTTAAAAATACGTACAGGCACCACAACCTAATTTGTCTAAAGAGGGGATGCGCGTTAATCTCGAATTTCAATTGTCAACGCCTACTGTAGATGATAATATTTTCTTGAATTTGTGTTTGTGTAGCGTGCAGATTTTGAGTTATATTTTATTTTTATTTGTTTGTAGTGTTTTCTTTTGAGTAGTGACTTACTTGTGTTAAAATGCCAAAACATTTAGGTAAGCAAAGGAAATAATATTTCATCTATTCGAATATTTTATGAAAAAAAATGTTTCTCGGCAACAAATAGTTTTGAAGAAAAAAAAAACAACGATGACAGTGAAACTTATAGACAATGTGTTGTGAACGATGATCCCAAAACTCTTACTGAAATTAAAGAACAAGTTGCTGAAGCTACAGGATACTCGTTAAAAACAATTGAACGAATAATTATAGGTGAGATATCAAAAGGTGAAAAGTCTACGTCGACCATGCCTAAACAATTGTTTAAAAGTCCAAAAAAGCGCAAAAGAACATCAAGTGTAACAGATATTCCATCCTACAATGTTGGAACAATCAGAGATATAGTTCATAGATTTCACGAAACAGAAGGTATGCGCGTAGCAGTCAAAAGTCTTAGGGAAAAATTAAAAAAGGAAATTGAGTGGAAAGAACTTTTTTAAAAAAAATTGGGTTTAAGTGGCGAAAAACGCGAAACAACAGACAGGTTCTAATAGAACAGCTTGACATCAGGGAAAAAAGAATAGATTATATTAAAAAATTAGATATTTTCGTTCTCAAAACCGTCCCATTGTATATATTGATGAAACTTATATACATAGTAGCCATACATCATCACATAATTGGGGTGAAGATAATGCAAAAGGTTTGTTTTCCACCATTTCGAAAGGAAAGAGACTTATTATAGTTTATGCTGGTGGTAACATGGGCTTTATTCCTAACAGTTTATTAATGTTTGTGTCTGGGGCCAAATCTGGTGATTATCATAATGATATGAATCAAGAAAATTATGAAAAGTGGCTAAGAGAACTGTTAATACCAAATTTACCACCAAATGCTATTGTAATTGTGGATAATGCACCGTATCACAATGTTATATAAAATCCTGCTCCGAATTCAAATTCAAGAAAAGCTGAAATGATACACTGGTTGACATCCAACAATATTGAATTTCAACCTTCCTTATTACGACCACAGGTGTACACATTAATCAAACAGCATAACAAGTATTAGAAAGTAAAAATTTAAAAAACCGACTTCAAAAACGTGCAGATGCCATCACCACATCTCAACCAAATTTATATGGGACCATCCCTGAGGTACTCCCTTATTATAAAAAAAAGAATCATATAAATCGGACAAGGTGATAAAGCATTATCGCTAAATATACATAAAAAATGCAAGAGTTTGAGGATTTTCTCATGGACCCAATTATTAGATTTTGACCAAATTTATATGACCCTGAAGTATTCCCTTTCTAACAAAAAAAGAATCATTGAAATCGGACACCGTGTTAAAGAATTATCGCTGAACATACATAAAAAAAAATATCGCGACGAATTGATAACCTCCTTTTTTGAAGTCGGTTAAAAATAGATTCAAGCAATACAAATTTGATAGATTATTCTCGGAACACGATCATACAATTTTGAGATTACCACCATACCGCCCAGACTTAAATCCAATAGAAATGATCTGGGCTGTAGTAAAAAATAATGTAGCTATAAAGAATATTCATTTTAAATTAGCACATGTACATGTAATTCGAACCTTGAGTGAAACAGTAATTAAAAGAGCAACCCAAGCTACTCTTACCAACAAAACTATTGACTAAAAAAGCTTGAGAATTGAACTTTAAAATCTGAATCTGAATATATGTTTGAAAACAACTTAACAACTTGCTGAAGAAGCTGAAAACTTTACCAAAATTGTACAAACAGCTGCTTACAATAACACCAAACAAATTACCCATTTGACAAAACGGATAAAGAAATAAGAGCTGGAGTGACTCAAGGAAGTGTTTTTGGACCCATCTTATACTTACTCTACACTAGTGACTAGTGTGTTGTGATTTGTATACAGGGTGATTCATTGGGAAACAAACATACGTTAACTGTGGATGGAGGCCACTGAGGTGATTCTAGATAACCCTTATTTAATGGGTCTTTGGCCATTTATCAATTTATAAATTTTATTCATTTCTTTCCTTATTCATAACTTGGGAACAACCCTGTAGATATTTATGACGTTTAATATACTTATCCACATCTTGTCGAATATACTGGAGTGCATTTAGAAACCTCGCACGGCGCGTCTGGACCCTATTCTAATATATGTGGCCAGATGCGCCATGCGGGGTTTTTAAACGAACCCCTGATGTATAAAAAAGTAGGAAAATCCAGATCCAGCTTAGCTAAAAATTCACAAATTCTTCAATCCTGAAAACAACACCCTGTAAAACTGATTTTTTATAATTAATTTCCATATTTGAAAAGAACATAAGAAACTAAATCTAAAAATATTTTTTTTATTTTGGAGCAGACTAATTTACTGTTTAAATTTTAAATTCAAATTCTTATTTCTGAGCATTTACGGGGTACAAAATGGAATAGAACCAATTTTTAATATTTTTATTATAAGATTATTTAAACAAACTAAGTAAATTTTTAAAAGCTACATATTAAGTTGGTTCTAGTCCTTATTTAAACCACTATACAATGTAATTACAGGTCCGTACTTGAGACCAAATATCACAATCATTTCGAACATCCTGTATAAAATTGGAACGTTCTTTACAACGGGTTATTTACAAATTTTACTTGGAAGATTTGTAGATAAAGAGAATATGAAATGTAACCATTTCCACATTACCTTTAGGTAGAGTAAGTACATGGTGAATATTTTATTAGTTTACCATTAGTATTTAGTAAATATTTAATCACATTTTTTATAATAGATACTAGATTAATTTTGAATTAAATAATGTATTCTTAAATCCTAAGTTAAGGGGGGATGGGTGATTCAGTGGTTAGAGTCTGCACCATCAAATTCAAGGGTCTGTGGTTTGAATCCCACCGGAATCAGAATTTTTAATTTAATTAATTAAAAAAATTAATTCTAATGCATTAGGATTCCCATTCGACAGTAAAATTCTTTGTTTTTATTCTAGTAGTGCTGTTCCTAAAGCATCGCCGAGAAACAGTAAAAAAAAACCTACACAGAACATGCGGCACCAATTTTCGAATCAAGATATGTGGATATGATTTACGTCTATGGTTTTTGCGATGGCAATGGAAAAGACACAAAAGAGAATATGAAAGACGGTTTCCTGAACGAAGATTACCCAATCACAAGACATTCACTCAAGTTTTTAACTACATGAGAGAACATGGCCAGTGTCCCTGAGTTAAATTAAATGAACGTCATGAAAGAAGGCACGTAGATGTGGAAGAAAATAATATATATATGATTCAGGATGATCCAGAAATTAGTACAAGAAGTAATGCATTAGACTTACCTCAATCCTCTGTTTGGCAATGATTAAAAAAACATAATATTTACACCCTTTCCGCGTCCAACAAGTACAGAGATTAAAGGCGGGTGATGAAATTCCCCGAATTGGCTTTAGTAGATGGATAATTCAAAATCCAAGAATTTTAAGATGCTTGGTTACTGATGAAGCGCAATTTACAAGGGATACCGTATACAATTTAAGAAACGCTCATATTTGGAGAGAACAAAATCCCATTGCTATTAGGCAAGCTTATTCACAGGTTAAATTTTCCGTAAACATCTGGTGCGGCGTGTTCAATAATAATTGATCCACATATTTTACTTCATCGGTTAACTAGTGAAATTTATTTAGTTTCCGGAAACAATAACTTTGTTAATAGAAGATAGGCAGAGGCGGACCTCATAACTGGCCTTCGAGATCACCATATTTTAATCCTGTTGATTATCACATCTGAGGATACTTGAAATCTAAAGTATATTCTTCGGAAATAATTAGTAGGGAAGAGCTCCTTCAGAGAATTGAAGGCGCAAGTGCGGAAATAAAAAATAATTCTCTTGTCATTAGAAAATGTATACGACAGATTTTAAAAAGAGCAAGAAAGTGTATCCTTCAAAATGGTGGTCATTTTGAGCAATTATTGTAGTTCTTATTTGTTTTTGTTAGAATTAGGTACATACATGTAGCTCTTGTTTTAATGCTAATTATATTTTTTGTTTGATAGTCTTAACTACAATAAAAAAAATATCACAATATTACATGATCGAAATGATATTTGGCCCCAAATACGAACCTGTAATTACATTGTGTAGTGGTGTAAATAAGGACTAGAACCAACTTAATATGTAGCTCTTAAAAATTCACTTAGTTTGTTTAAATAATGGTAATAAAAATAATAAAAACCGATTCTATTCCATTTTGTACCCCGAAAATGCTCAGAAATAAGAATTTGAATTTAAAATTTGAAAAGTAAATTCGTCTACCCCAAAATAAAATTAACATTTTTAGATTTAGTTTTTTATGCTCTTTTCAAATATGAAAACGAATTATAAAAAATCAGTTATACAGGTGTTGTTTTCAGAGTGGAAAAATTTGTGAATTTTTCTCATTATCTTATTACTGAATATTAAATAGTTATAGGCAACAGGTAGCGAGATAGCTTAAGTACTTAGAAATGGAGAAGAAGAAGGAACTTAATTCTCACCTTACGATTTTTATGTTCATGGTGCGGTGTGATCTTTTATGAAAATTAATGTTTTACTCAATTTTAAACTAAACAAGATGAAAATATTTATATGAAACATTTATTTCAACCAGTCACTCAAGGTAAACCCATTAGTTAAGCCGGATCTGGATTTTCCTACTTTTTTATACATCAGTATATTCGAGACGATGTGAATGATAAGTCTAACAAACGTCATACATATACAGGGTGTCCCGAAATTAGACGGTCATATTTTAACAACGTAATTACATCCTAAAATAGGAGTAAAAGTTCATATAAACCCGTTTCGTTTTAGAGATACAGGGTGTTGCAAGTGAGTTCCTGATGGCACATTTTTGTAAATATTTTCTAAAATTTCTTTAGTCACTGGTTTTCCAAAGTTAAAAAAAAATAAAATTTCTGATTCTACAGGCCTACTAATTATTGGTACACTTTCGAATAAGATAACATCAACTTATCACGAACTTTTCAAATGCTTTTCTCTTGAAAATGGTTCGTCCTAGCGAGATGCAGCAAAAGTTGCTTTATTATAAAGAAAACATTGGTTTTCCAATATTTATAGTCAAAAATGTTAAAAACTGTCAACCAAAAAAAACTTAGGGCAATTTTACCCTAAGCCCCCCCTAATTTACCCACCTATGAAGATGATCAAAAACTGGGGTTTAGACCATTAAATAAAGCGTAAAAAGGTAAGCATTTGTACCAAATTCCACTTAGTTATCTTTAAACGTTTAGAAAATATTTACAAAAGTGTGTCATCAGGACTTGACTTTAACACCCTGTATCTCGGAAAAGAAACGTATGTTCGTTTCTCAATGAATCACCCTGTATAGTAGTCAGAACAATCTAATGAAGATCAATGGATTGAGTTTAGCTAATAAATTCTTAGTTTAATATTGTTTCAGAACAAAATTAATGGAACTGATGTTAATGGCAGACACCATAAGGTATTAAATGAAAAAAAAAATGAGTTAAATGTACTTGACTTTTTTAGTAAAATTTAGACCATTAAATGAATTCAGATATTTAAATCCCTACTAATATTATAAATGCGAAAGTAAGTTTGTTTGTTACGCTTTCACGCAAAAACTACTTAACCGATCATCATGAAATTTTGTACACATATTTTTGGAGGTATTAGAAGTAACATAGGATACTTTAAAAAAATATATTTTAATTGTTTGTCAAGAAATTTAAAAATCTAACTACTTCAACGCCATCTAGCATTCCAGTAATGAAGTTTCAACCCTGAGAACTGTAATATCGTCGCATTGTATTACCGACGGTCACGTCAATTGAGTATAGTTTCAGCTGTTTGAAATTTTTCTATATTTATTGTTATTTTCTTCTGTCATTATTCTATCTATATATATAAAATTGTTTGTCCTGACTGACTGACTGACCTATCAGCGTACATCCAAAACTACTGAGCCTAGAAAGCTGAAATTTGGAACATAGGTTTATTTTATAACGTAAGCATCCGCTAAGAAAGGATTTTTGGAAATTTTAACTTTAAAGGGGGGAAATGGGAGGAAAAGGGGGGAGGAAGCTCTTAATGAAACTCTTTGTTCTTTAAAGTTAGAAACATGAAAATTTACATTACAGCTACTGAGCATAAATAAATAATGACGTGTTTCAGGGTTTTTGGATTTTTTACATTTTAAGGGGAGAAAACGGGGGGTAACAGTTTGTAAGGGACTATCGATTTTTTTGTTCTCTCTGAAGTTAGAAACATGAAAATTGGAATTGCAGCTACTGACTACAAATTATTAATGACGTGTTTCAGGGTTTTTGGATTTTCACGTTTTAAGGGGGGGAAATGGGAGGTGAAAACTTATTTGGGAGTATCCATGTTTTTGGTTCTCTTTAAAGATAAAAACATGAAAATTGGAATTACAGCTACTGAGTACAAATTAATACTAATGTGTTTTAGGGTTTTTATATTTTTACATCTTGAGGGGGGCAAACGGGGGTAAAAGTTTGTATGGGAGTATAAGTTTTTTGTTCTCTTTGAAAGAAACATGAAAATTGGAATTGCAGCTAATGAGTACAATTTAATAATGACTAGTTTTAGGGTTTTTGGATTTTCACATTTTAAGGGGGGGAAACGGGGGGTGAAAGCTTATTTGGAAATATCGATTTTTTTAAAGGTAGGAACTTGAAAATTGGAATTGTAGGCTCTCATCATAAATAAATAATGAAGTGTTTCATGGTTTTTGGATTTTCACATTTTAAGGGGGGAAAACGGGGGTAAAATTTAATTAAAATTAATAAAAAATTAATAAAAATTAATAAAAAAATAATAAAAATTAATAAACATGAATAAAAATGAATACAAATGAATAAATATGAATAAATATAAAAAAATGAATGAAAATCAATAAAACTAATAAAAATTAATAAAAAAGGAAGTCATGTATTTTTTTATATTAATAACACGACTATATGCGAGCAAAGTCGCGAGCAAAGCCTCGGGCAATAGCTAGTGAAGTATAAAACTATTGAATTTTTGAGGTTAAGTGTCATTTTTGTGGTTATATGTCGCTTCATTATGCTTTTCTCATGGTCAACTATAGGTAACCTGTTCGCGAGTATCTAATGCCGGGAATTTACACATATTTGCACCCGACGGAAAACTTATAATATAGTTAACAAAAATATTCTAGATTAATACTCTACATTTTAGCTTTTCAAAGTGTTAGAATTCAAAATTATTTATTTTTGTTAAAGATAATTATATTTTAACATTTGTTGTTGTAATTCAATAAAGCATATTTTAAGTTTTTGAAACTTCATTGTATGTAGTAATTTTTTAAAATTGATAATCCCAGCCAAGCAATAAAATATATTTATCATATTGATTCATTTCTATTGTAATTATCTCTGATACTTATTTAACGGCCTAAATGCGAGCGAAACTGCGGGTAAAAGCTAGTTGTATATAAAATCATCTTACCTACGACTAATTGACGACCTATAACCATAATTGCTTCTATCCAAAGAGCTATAGTCAGTAGGACTCTTGTATCCCAAATCCATATTATAAGAATTCGGTTTTCGTATTCTCTTCTTCTCGTTGAATCTCGTGTAAAAACTCTTCCTCCTAATCCTATCGATAACAGACTCGTTTTCATCGCCGGAATATAAATAGCCATTCGGAGACAAAGGCGAATGTAAATCATTAACGTTTGGATATTCTGACATCACGGACCAACTGTCGCAGCTTTGGTAATCATCAGACGGTGACAAAACGGTCGAACTGTCATCTGTCATTGCAAGAGAGTTCCTATTTTCATTGAAATTCGAATCTTCCTGAGTACTTGAGCTAGGAATAGGTTCTCGAATAACAACAGGTTCGCTTTTAGACTGTATTTTACTAAGATCTAACTTCAAATGTCGCCTATCTGGCTTTCCGGTAGCAGCATTATTATTGACAACGTCGGACATGTTATCTAAATTAAGACTGCGTCTATACGAATTGACGGGTAATTTCGATTTTGTTTTAGGCTCTTTTTCGTTTGTTCCATTTTGATATTGCTTGATTTTATCTATTAGTAAAGATCTGGGTCGTTCCTTTTTATCAACTTGACTAGAATCGGTAACGGAACTATCATTTATAATAGAATTTTGATCGTTATTATTTTCACTATCTTTCTTTGCAATTTTGTTCTTGGGTTTCTTTATCACTTTTTTCTTTTCTTGGTCTTCGTATTTCTTAAACAATCCTAATATTTTGGTAACAGATTTTCTTGAAGCTTGTAAAGTTTTGTTTCCGGATAAGTCTTCTACAGAAACTGCACGTTTTATTAAACCGGATTCGGTGCAGTGCTCCAAATTTCTAGGCAAACTCTGTTCTCTTAACCTTTTTATAACATTTTCCACGGTGGATTTCTTATCTTGGACGGCTTGCGAATCTTTGGATGCTCTGAATTTCTCTAATTTTTTTTCTAAAGTTTGTAGCAACTTATTTTTTTGATTTTTATCTTCTTCTGCATTGCTTTTTTTATCTTCTTTACTTTTATCTTTGTTTTTACTGAAACCTTTTCTAATTTTACTTAATTTTGATTCTTTTTCCGGGGTTGTTGAGTTTTTCTCTTTGGGATTTTCTTTGATCACAGTTTCCGCAGGGTAAGATTTCGGTCTTGCTATTCTAGATTGTTTATCCTTCTTTGTTGCATCGTTAGTAGCTTTAACATTAACATAATCATGAATTAGTTCAGTATTTTGTTCAGAACTTCCACTGGTACCAGGTACATTTACGTAATCGTGTATACTATTAGTGCTGTTTTCTAAAGTTTTAATACTAGCAGAAACTTTGGGAAGCAATGTTTCAGATTCTTTTATTGGTTTATCAGTTTCTTTTGAAGATTGTTCTTCGGATTTCTCACTGACTTCTCTACTGAGAGATGTTTCCCTTCTAGAATACAACCTACCTTTTCTTTTATCTCGGATTTCTTTTAGGACCTTCTGTGTTTCCATTTCGCGTTCCTTTTTGTCCCTAAGGTAGATATTTTCTTCTTTTTGGCCTTCGAAGAAGTCGGGTCTTAAAAATCGAGACACTTTTTTAGGTTTTTGTAAGTCAGTCTTGCTAGAATCTATTGCTTCAGTTGATTTATTCGGTGAGTATCTCGAATATAAAGATTCTGAGGAGTATTTCGAATAAGGCCTTGATATCGACGATTCCGATATGCACTTAGAACTGTCGTTTTTATAAGAAGTAGAGATACTTTCCGAAATACTTGAATCCGGGCTTTGTAAATCTGATTTCGATGAATATATTTTAGGCTCGCGAAGCGATATTGACTTGCTTACTTTAGGCGTTCTAAGAAACTTATTATCACATCTAGGCTCCGCGCCTATACTAGAAGATCTAATACTAAATTCTGAAGAAGGTCTATACTCCTCTTTTTTTATCGGCAAGAAAGATCTCTGTGTTCTAGGTTCCTCTTTTAAACTCGAATTGGTTTCCACAGAGAATCTCCTCGGTAAAGTGGATCTACCTGATAAGCTGCCATTTTGTTCCTCTGATGTACACGATGACATCGTTCGGTGCAATTTTCTAGCTTCGGATGGAGCTAGCTGAGCGAGGAGTTGCTTTTGAATGCGTTTTGATAGAGCGGGAGTAAGGTAAGACAGTGCCAAAGCGTCTTCATCGGACAATTTTAATTTTTTTAAATCTAGATCTGCTAAATTAAGGTTTTCATCGGTCGATTCATCTGAAAAAATATCGAAAAATTAGCTTGTGAAGATTATGCAGGGTGTGAATGGTTTCCAGAGTCGCCATTGGATTAAAAAAATATAAAAACGTTAAAAAATGAAATTATATTTTCTTTTTTGATTATTTTAAAATGAGAAATTTTGTTTTATTGAAAACTGCACTCATAAGAGAGAAACAAAATACAATAGAGTTACAAAACATGTATTATTAAATGGTGACATTTAAAACATACCACCCTGGGAATCAAAAATAAATATTAATAATGAAAATTACCAAAAAAAGTAAATCCCATGTATACCTGTTCTTGTCATAATTTATATGCACAAAATTGTCTTAGGGAAGACAGCAAATTAAAATTATAGTGGAACCCCTTTAAAATATAACTTTCAAGCTTTCAAATGTTGTCTATATACATTTTTTTAATTTCTTAATAATGAAACTAACACATCTCGAAATCTTACAACTTTTATATTAAAAAGTCACTATTATTAGTATTGCCTTTCAAATTGATGCTTTCCCCAAAATTCTTTGTATAATTTACATATTTACTATTTGAGAATTTGAATGTTTGATGACTTGTTTACCACTTTCTTAAGTTTATTTCAATATTTATGTCTAATAATATCAAAATTTTAATAATTATAATATTTAATGACAAAAACAGATTTCAATAATAGAACCAACTTTATTAATAATATTTATCAAATATTACATGCTGTTTTGACAAAAGAAAAAACTTGCAATTATTAAACAAAAACCTACCTTCAGAGATTAATGAAATTTTGGCACAAAACATCTGCTGCAGCTTGAAATAAAAAAACACAAACAACAAAAATTAGTCAAAATCATAAAAAATAAAACACATAAAATCACGGGTACTGTCACACCATACCATGCAAAAATAAAAATAAAAAATTGGACTGGTTTATAATTTGTAAAGTGCAATATTTTAATTAAAAAAAGTGGCTAATGTTGACACGTACTTATTACAATATGAAGTGTGCGAATATTTTTTTTAATACAAAAATATACAGGGTATTTCAAAAAAAGGTGGCCTATTGATAGGATAGGTAGAACACTGCAAAATAAGTTGGGTTTGATCAGTAAACATTTTTCGTAACGGTGTCCATTTTCCAGATACTGGGTATTGAAAAAAAATGTATTCGCATTTTTTACGATTATGTCAAAACTACTGGCAACATCGTAATGCAATTTTGTACGAATATGTTTTGGAAGCTGACACATCGCAATACGGTTCGTACCGACTAGTTAACTTTTTTTGAGGTTAAATTTACCAGTCCAAATTTTATGTGAACTCAACTCAAGCATCATTCAATTTTACGCCAAAAAGGTACTCTTGGTAAAACTCGATACCATATACCGTTTTCGGAATATTTTGATTTTAAAATGATAGTGGTATAAAGTAACTATTTACTAAAAACCAAAAACAATAACATTATTCTAATGCTAAAATAAATTAAGACTAAAAACATGAAATATTCAATAAGGTAAGTATTCAAAATGTTCTCCGGCAAAAAGTTTAGGGTTCGTCGCATCTTCAAATGGTTTTGTCCGAGTTAGCTATGGAAAATTGTCACTAAGGTAGTTCACTCGCGACAGTAGTACATAAAAATATCGCGTAATGGTGAATACCAAAAGTTCGAGATTCTCAATGCTAATCAATTTTATTTTTGTAAGAGACTGTACAAAACACATATATATAAACACATATGGACAAGTTATAATTTTTATCAATTTCATACGGCAAACTCGCAAATATTTAAACGATATGGTATAGAAATTTATGACTCCCTCATACTAATTTTAAGGGTTTGTTTTGATTCAAACAGAACCGCTGATTCCAGTTCTCAAACACAGTGGACGAATTAATTTTTCAAGAACAAGTCGCGAGTTTATAACAACCTCTTAGCTGATCGAGTGTTACTTTGATACGTGAAGTGGCTACAATGTTGCCAAGTTGTAATAATTTTACGAAACTACTCGTCAACTGCTTTAAAAATATTTTTATTTTAAAAATCTATATCTTTTTACTAAGGTCAAAAAATTCAGCGAATATTTATAAAATTTGATAATTTCTTGATTTATTTAACATTAGTTTTTAAAAAATATGGTAAGAACCGTTTTCGAGATATCTTGAAATAAATGCATTGCTTGTGTATATGATAGGCTTCAAGAGTGTTAATTATGCACATTTTGATTGTTAATATCTCGTTTCACAGATTGTTAAAAAATCTAATTTTGTTTTAGTTACGTAAACGACACTTTCATGAACCATATATTTAAATTTTATTGAATTCTTAAGAAAAGCCGTTTTACGAGTGAACTACCTTAATTGATAGTTAATACGCACAGTTCGTAGACAACACGGTGGCCTCCTCATCCGTTGTTAAGGAAAATTGTGACGTCACGGAATGCAAAATCGAGTTGACAGAAAATATTCTGCCGAGGTTCGTACATTAGTCTTTTAAAAATTTAATATTTTATTATTGGTGTTTATATTTTTATTTTTGTACTATACACCTGCGTTGGATTTTTTTATAAAATCGGTAACTTGATTTTTGAAAGACAAGCCATAAACGGGATGAAAAAATCGTGTAATGATTTCCATCAAATTTCAAATGAATTACTTTTTATTTGAATTATAAAGAGAAATATTATTGTGTGATTGGTTTATTTTTAAATACTTTGGATTAGTGTACGGCCTCCTTGCTAAATTCGGATCACACTCTGTTTATATCCCGAAACATTTTGAAATTTTGGCAAGCCTGGGGCGAGCCGTAGCTTTGCTGTTGACAAATTTTTACTGTTTACACACAAAAAAAATAAATAAACTGAAATAAGAGACTAATGGTAAGATTTTAGATTAATTATTCTGCAAATATCATTCACCATTTTTAAATTAATTGCAATTTTGTCCACCCTATATTTAAAAGCAGACGAGATGGTTTCTTACAAACATTAAAAACAACCGAGAGCAAAACAGTCAAAGGGCTTTACTAAAAGAACATACATTTTTGAAAAAAGAATTTGCTACAGGAAGTTTTTAGTAAAAAGTACATAGTTACAAATCATTTTAAAGAAGAAAACAAGAGCCTTTTAGAGTTGAGAAGAAGTTTGTAAAGCATTCACGAGAAGATATTTGAGTAAAAAGTGTTATGTAAACCATATATGCTAATAGTAGTTGATGAATTATCTAGGTTTCCCTTTGTTTTTCCATGTATCACACTGTTTCATCTGAAGTAATCAAGAATTTGAAAGAATTATTCTTTATCTTCGGTACTCCCTCCTATATCCACTCTGACAATGGTACATCTTTTATTTCTCATGAACTCAAATCATACGTAGATGCTCAATGGTATAACAGCATCATCTGGAAAACCATTAACCTTGCACTTCGCTTAGAAGGACTGAAATTGAGCCAATGGGAGAACTACCAAAAGCGCTTCATTCCTATCACTCATTACTATGCACTGCCAATAAATGCAACTCCTCATGAGAGAATGTTTAACCACCCCCCGAGATTCTCTCCCTACATGGTTAACATCACCTGGACCTGTTTTACTTTGTAAATTTAATAGGACCAATAAATATGAGCCCTTAGTCGAAGAGGTAGATCTCATTGAAGCAAACCCACACTATGCTCAAGTTCAACTCACTGACGGTAGAGGAACTACCATATCGCTTAGACATCTGGCTCCTTCATCTGGACAACCTATTAAAAATTCGGAGGATTCTAGTTCTTCACAACTATATGAAGAAAATTATTCCCCTTCCAGTCCTGAACATTATTCACAATTACAAAATAATATAAATCAAAAGAACGAAGAGAAAAATGATGAACATATTGCTGAAACTCAACAGAATTGTGAGACTCATCAGATAAATCCTCAATTGCTGAAACTCAACAGAATTGTGAGACTCATCAGATAAATCCTGAGTCGAGATCAGTGTGATTAAGAAAAGCCCCGACCTTTATAATAGATGATTATGTAAGATTTAAAGGTGGGATTAATGTAGTGATAATTAGTGAATGTACTTACATTACTTAGTTATTGTATATCAAATTGTTATATTTATTTCATTGTCAATGTTGCTTTCTGTTTATTAAAACCTTAAGAAAGGTTTCGTATTTTATTACAGAAATACTCTAAAGTATCCCTTGCTGGGGATTTCAACTTTACAAAAGTGCGCTGCTAAAAATCTGAGATTTGGTCTTGGATATGCACTGGTACACAGTATATTGCATCTCCACTGGTGCGGTGCATGAGAATATTATGCAATACCAGACGAAGAGGGGGAGCAGGAAGGAAGTCAGTCGGCTCTCAGCTTCCGAGCTTCGAGGAGAAATTGACTGTTATTGATTACGATTTTTGAGTTAGCCATTTTGTTTTATTAGAAATTATTGTTTTCGTAATTTTAAATGTACTTTTGGGTAATTAAGGAAATTAGTATAAACATTTTTTGGTTGTTGAACTACGAGATGTAAATATTTTGTCATAGGACAATCAAAAGACGTTGCCACTGTACAAGAAGTAGAAAAGAAAAAAAGGAAGAAAGAAAAAGTTGTCGACACCATACTATCTTTGCCAAAGTCACCATCAGTACGGATTCCAGGACCCTACCAAGGCATTCCAGAGTTCCACGATCTGTCAGAAAATGGGCCGAATTCCAAAATTACAAGACTACAGGGCTACAAAGATACTGCTACATCCAAATCCAAAAAAGGACCAACCAGTACCACCAAGCTCTTAGAGGGCATGAGACATACCGCCAAGGGAGCTTGACCTGAAGTTAGGTCCAATTTGAGTCTGTGGGAGCCAAATCCACAGCATGAAAAAGATGAATCCAAATGTAGAAACAAGGCACCAGAGATAATCTATATGGAATGGACTAAGGTTCAATGAAAAAGGCCATTCCCAGTAATCAGTCAATAGGGACCTACCAGTAAAAGCGAAGTACAGCCGCCATATACAGTAG